AAGAGGAGAGAGGTTTAGATTTTGACTTTTGAGGCTACAGTTGTGAGACTTGTGCCATGAATAAGTCCTTGCTATGTTCCGGATGGAGGTGATGAAGTGTCAAGTGGCTCTGCTTACCACGCGCGCGGTCCACGAGTCAGATATCTGAACCCTGCCCAGGCCAACCATGTCCCTCGCCCCTTGGGTTGTTTGATTAATAGCAGGGAGGACAGAAACACGAACAGGCCCCTCATTCCAAGCGACACCTCTGGGAGTCAAAATCACTGACTTCTACATCTATGGAGCTCCAGAGCAAGTGGCAAGGCTTGAATCGGTCCTATGGAGATAGTCTTGAATTCGTTGAAATCTTTGCCCTTTGAATCATCAACTTTTAATGATGTTGCACAGGATTGCTGCACCTCAACCTTCTGAAAGAGGGTGCAACCTATTGCAGCATGAAATCTTTTCCCATTACATGAATAAGGTAGGCCTGTGAAGGCTGCGTTTATGATAACACGCAATGTGAACCACGACCTTGTTGAGATTCCTCGACAGGGGATGTTTTTTCCTAAGTAGGAGAATGCTTCCATTTGGGTGTTTGAGTGGTCGTGCGGAGCACTGTGGAGAATAAATTAGCCCGTAAAAATTTAAAGTTGCTCCATTCCGCACTAGTTTTGAAGTTTTTGAATAAAAAGCTAGGGGGGGGGTGGGCGGCGTGAGAGTGTGTCCAACCAACGTCCTATTGGTATCATCGAACATCGGAAGGCGGACAGGGTGTCTAAGAAGAGGGAGAAGGTGGTCATGCTCATCATGAGAAGGGAGAGACGGGTTCGTGTTGAATAAAGTTTCCTCGACACGTGATTCACCCTGGTTACGCATGTGAAAATTCTTGCACAAATTTTAAAAGGCCTTGAAAAGGTGAACATGTGGGCCCATGAAAGTCCGTTTCAGGTCGACTCAGTCACTTTCTCTCAAATTTCACTTCTCCGACCATCTCGACAGGTTCTAGGTGGGAAGGAACCGGAAAGAACGAATCGAGAACGGGCTTCGATCATTCTCTCAAGAGATCAAGGGCTTCGCGCTAAAGAGATAACAACGGGGACTATGTTGGTTAAAATTAGCAAGTCTCAACAATTTTCATTTTTAATTATTTTATTGTTTCGTTTTTTTATTCTGAACGTACAATTCAGAACACGATGCAATCGCTTTTGAACACGATTTTTTTTATAAATTACTAATTTTGATAGTAGTTCAAAAGGTGAATTTCCGCACTAATATGCTGAGGTATAGATAATTCCTCTTTCTTCAAGCGGGACTCGATCCTTAGGCCAATGCTTTTCGACCAGTGATGAAAACCACTACATCACAGAGTCCACATTCTACTCAACTTATGTTTCAGTGGGTTATCAGTAATCTTACATTTAATGAGGGCGGAAGTGGTGTAGTGGCAAGTGGCGCGCTTACCACGCGAGCGGTCCGGGGATCAAATCCTGGGTCGTGAGTCGCCCGGGCCAACCAAGCCTTCCATCCCTCCGGGGTCGGTTAATTGGTACCAGACTTGTCTGGGAGGATAAAAACACTGACTTGAACATCGGCTGGCCCCCGCAAGTCATTGTAGGCCACATCGCATTCAAATGCCACTACGAATGTACAAATGGAAGTAGAATGCGTGCCGCATCCCAAAACGGGAATTGGTCAACGCCAAATGTTTTACCTTTTTATCTATACGTATAATATGATAAGCAAGTTATTCGACATCTACGGTGAATCGCTTGACTGGGACATCATATTGTGAACTTTAATGATTTGTTGTCTGCTATTTCCAAAGTAAAAAACAAATAACAAACGATGGAAAATCTCCTAAAGCTTCCCCTTTCGTAGCAAACATCGGGTAAACGGCTCATCATATTATAGTGTGATTGCTGATTAGCTATGGTCAATAAATCATTGATAGCCTGAGATCCGGTTTGCAGTCCTCGGCCAGGGAAAAGCGTTTTGCCTTCTACTCATGAAGGGATGGAGCGTGAGAGGTGGGGGGGG